TAATACAAATATGTAGAAAGTTCTTTTACATGGAATTTACTCTTAACTTCTAATTATATCTGATCAAACTAACACCAATTTAAATTTACTTTTGTATGAATAACTATTATGGGCAAAATTATACCTTCCTCTCCTCATGGACCCCTCCAAAACATAATACACATTGAAGTCTTAATTCTCAGTACCTTTGGATATCAGTTTATTTAGAAATATTGTTTGCACAGACAGTATTCTAATTCAATGTATCCATTTCTAACCCTTTCTAAATTTGTCAGGCATATAACTCTAATTATCAAGATTAAAATAACTTAAAATGCAAAAAAATATTGTTTGCAAATTTAATCAAGTTAAAATTAATTCATACACAAATGGGCCTTAATTCAACATGGCTGATGTCCTGATGAGAATAATAAACTTGGACACAGCACAAGGAGAGTTTCATGTGAAGATACAGAGACATAAAGATATAGAAGGAAGACCGGTATGTGAAGATAGAGATAGAGACTAGAGTTACTGTTGCATAACCAATAAATGCCACATGGTATCAAATGATGAAGAGGCAATGATATACTCACAACTTCAGTTTCAAAGAGAACCTGACCCTGAAAATTCCTTGACAATAGATTTTCAGCTAAAGTTGTGAGAAAATAAACATCAGTTATCTTAAGCCACTCAATTTATGCTAGATGTTATGTCAGCCTTAGAAAACTAATAGAGTAAGTTTGCTATGGAATGTCATTCAACTTTTTTGAATTGTAGTTCTGACAAAACATTAACACCAAAATAGTATAAAAGTGGGGGGTGGGGGGCAATACAACCCTCCTGCCTGTATATTAAATATTTCCTTTGACATATTATTTTACTCCTTCATAGTGTCCAGAACACTTTTGTATAATGGAAACTCCAGCATATCCTATTGATCTGAATATTTCTCTTGGGTGCCTCACTATCCTGGAGTTGAATAATGCATATTATGTTTTCTTTTATAGAGAGATCCCTCACCTTCATCATATTTTTTAGTAAAAAAAAAGAGAGATAATAAAGTCATAATCTTAACATTTATTCCAGTTTCATAACTGGGAGCTATACATCAGTTCCAAGTGGGTCAGTCATTGTTCTTGGTGGAAATAATTACAGATAGGCAAGCTGATAGCAACAGCAATGAAAATTCCAGCATGCCAGGGTAAACAGGATGAGATTATTTTTGGAATATTGACCCATAAACATTCTTAAAAAAAACAATGACTGACCCACTTGGAACTGATGTATAGCTCACAGTTATGAAACTGGAACAAATGGCAGGATTAAGAAAAATAAATAAACAAACAAACAAACCAAATAAAGGCATGCTGTCCATCTATAACTATAAAAAAATAAAAATAAAAAAGAATATTAATGCTGCTCCTTTCTCTTTTTTTCTGTTACTATGAGCATCTAGAACATAGGGAATAAACAATTGATAAAAATAAATTTTATGTCCTTCATATAATTGATGATATTACTAGTATTAAGAATCTAACATCAATACTATTTACGACATGTTAAAATGAGGTTACCACTATGTGAACATGCAACTGAAATTATGCACTAGGAAATTAAAGAAACTTATCAAATCTGCTTTCTTTCATTTTTTCTCTCAAGAAATTATTAAATGCAGCTGGCCAGATGTTAGAAGGAGAATTTTAGCATGAAGTCCAAGCACCTTGGAGTGAAATAACACTGCTTGAAGCACAGCTTTCAGACAGTTAAAAAAATAGATTTAGGTTGGTTTATCAGTAAATGAATGAAAAAAATGTTAATAATAAATAAGAAAAAAAACTAAAGGGATAAAATGACAGCAGAAGCAAATTTCACTTAATTTCTATCAAAGGTCCCCTTCATCCCTTCCCTTATAAAACGTGAATGAATATAGCAGCTACTATGTATCTCTGTTAGCTTTTTCTTCCAGAGTTCTAATTTTCACCCAAATTTTACTATGGGAAAAAAGTGGGAAAAAATAATGATAAACTGATTTAGTGCTTGAGAAGTTCTGTTCCCTTTGTTCTTACTAGTTCTGTTTCTCTCAGGCTGTTTCTTTACATGGGAATGAGCATAACAGATAATCTGCATACAAGGGAGGCTGGTCTTCTCATTTTAAGATTTCTCAACTAAGCTTCTTGCTAGCTTCTCTCTATTTTCTTTCTTTCTTTTTTATTCATATTTTTTAGTTGTAGATAAACCTTTATGTATTTACTTTTTTATTCATTTATATGTGGTGCTGAGAATCAAAACCAGTGCCTCACACATTAGGCAAGCACTCTACTACTGAGCTACAACCCTAGCCCATTCTCTCTATTTTCTGTTGGCTGTTTTAAATTGTTAGTGTTCGATCTGTTAGGAAAAACTGCCAAGCAATTTGTAGCAAAAACACTTTAATTGTTAGACATCAGTTTTCTCTCTCAATAGCCAAGGGAAATTGAGAAATTTAAAATAGTCCTAGTTTAGAGGAAAACAACGCAGTCATTAAATCAGAAATGCCTCTATACAAGGAAGGGAAATTATGCCTAGAGTATGCATGAAAAACTTTCAGAAATTCTTAGAGATCAAGAAAAGTCTGAGAGAAATACAGACATAAATGTAAAGAAAATAACCCCATGTGTAAAAACGAAAAAGATAGTGCCACCTAGCAATATATAAAGGTGGATTCATCAGGGTATAGAATATGAGAAACAAATGTATATTTGCTTTTCTTAAATGTAATTTTTTTTTCTTCCAAGAGTTTTCCTTCTTTCTCTTCTTCCTTCTGACCATAAATGCCTTCACTGATGGAAGTCCTGACGCTGTCATCTTCTTCTTTGGGTTACTGAGTTTCCTGGCACATGGTCTGATCTCAAGTATTTTCTAGTCCTTTTCGGGCCACAGTCTGGCATACAGTACTTTAGACATCAAAAGCATAAGGAGAGGGCTGATGGCCTCTGATGCCACATGATTTTCTAAAACTGCAAACCTTTAAAATCTGTAGCCTCTGATTCTACTGAGTCTGTTTTTTGAATGAAACCAGCATGTGTCAGGGTCCTGCCTGAGTTTCCCTATTCTTCCCTGAACAGAAATACCCAAGCTTTTGGATTGACCATATTCTAAGAAGGCAACTTCTAATTATTTCAGTCATGTTCCCAGTTTTCAGGTTTTGTTATCTTTCCTGTCCAAGAAAACTAATTACGCTGAAACTTTTGCATGTAAGTTTTATGGTTGAAATCTTTGCAAGTAAGTAGTAATTCATATCAAAGTCATGATAGTCTAGTGAAATCTGATCATCCTCTATGTAGTTATGGTTTTTAACTTTAATAACACATTTTATTGGATAAAACAGTGTGTCTTATTAAATTGTATCCATTAAATCAGAACAGAACATAATTTATAGATCTACATTTTATCTGTATTACATCTCATACACTCATGCCTCAGGATTTGAAATGGGTTTTCCTAGTGAAGACTTTTTGGTTTAGCCTATTCAAACCTATTTATCCGTATTGAATTACCACTGTAACTCTTCTATACAACATTAATTTACTTTTTTCAAAAGTTTGTTTCTCTTCCCATAATGCTATTTCCAAAACCGTCATCTTTTTTAACCCTTGTTGTTTACTCTCTTGATTCCTTGATTAAATAATATTGGTGAAGCACAATTTAGCTTTAAAAATCATTTTACAAAGAAATAGAATGTAGAAATTGAGATTAATTTCTTTTTTTCCTTAACAGATGTGGAAAGTAAAAGTCATGTATTAAAAAAAATGCCATTTCTTTAGAAAATATTCAGTCATTTGAATTAAATTCACAATAGTTTATAAATGAAATGCCTATGTGACAAGTGACTGTGTCTTTTACTTACTTTAATTTTTTTCACCTGCATTCATATTATATTCCCAACATAGACCTATCAAGTACTGAGAATCAGGATCAGGATTTAGTTTGTTTCTCACACAGACATATAATAAATTTGTGTTATTTTAATAAATGTTATCTGATGGATTGAAGTTATAAATTTAATATTAACTGGCACAAATCATCAAATGTTTTGACTTATTTCTCTAAAATTGAGACTCAAAAAATCATTTCATTATATTTACTAAATATATTTGGTCCTTTTTTTTTTTTTGTATTGGGAATTGAACCCAGGGACATTTTACCACTGAGCCAAATCCCCAGCCCTTTTTAAATTTTATTTTGACTCAGGATCTCGCTAAGGTGTTTAGGGCCTTGCTAAGTTGCTGAGTCTGGCCTCAAACTTGTGATCTTCTTGTCTTAGCCTCCTGAGCCAATATACTTACACTTCCCACATTCCAAGCAATGAGTTGGGTATAGAGAAAATAAATACTTTATTCCTGCTTCTAAAGGTTTTACAGTACAGTGAGAGAGAGCATGAATGAAAATATTAACATCATGACTGTCCAGTGAGTAATTGCCAGTCAGTGTTTATGAAGTGCTTAGGAGGCAGAGCAGGTAAGGACATACCAACTCCTTACATGGAAAGCCCTTTTCCAGTGGAAATCTAAGCCTTAGATACCTTGAAATTTGTGTGAAAAGGTCACAATCTCTTTCCATGCCTATCAGATTACCAGGAACACATTTAATTCACAGCAAATATTTTCTGAATTATGCTTACAATATTTTCTTTATAACAGAAAACTATAAAAAGCTCTGAAATGTAATATCTTTAAAATATTTGATTCATTTTGCAAACAACACCCGATCTGCTATAACATAGTCTATAATTGCTATATATCCCTCTTAATGTGACTATTATACCTTTTGGGTATAGAAATATTAATGTATTTGATTATGGGATACTGCCTTGGAACCTATTCATAGCATCATATAATATTTGGTATTTGTACAATATTGCATTTTATTGCAAATATATATATTGAGCTTCAAAATCCATGTGCCCTAAAGGATCTAAGGAGATAAGAATCAGTTCCTATTTGTGATAGAGCCAGGAACTACAACCTGCCCCAACAGACCTTTCTTTGAATTTTCTTCAGGCATGGAAACTCTTGCCACATCATTTTCCTGCTAGTTCACAGCTGTCAGTTTCAAATCCAGGATCAATTGCAAGGCAGGTCCAGGCAGCATAGAACATTCTGAGCAGAAGGACTGTTAAAAAAGGCAAAGCCGTGTTTTAAAAATTGACTTGTAAGCCAACTGTAGCCCCTTTACAGATACACAAAGTGAAGCCCATGATATACACTGACTACTCTGAAACAGAGACACCCATGGAAATGAAATTTACTCAAGGCCAAACGGCTTCAGCATGGTGGCATGATGATAGAATTAATGAAAATTACTTTGTATACATATTCACTGTTTTTCCTGATCATTTCCCTTGCAACTGTCACATTCTTTTAAATTTCTACCTTTACTTAAATACGAATATGCATCAAATTTTCATTTGAATATACATATTTGTGTGGATATATAATTTAATAGTTTATCTAAACAATATAGCATTTACAAATGATTAAATCAAATTACTATTAGTGAATGTTAATATCGTAGCATTTCTTTCACAAAATATAAATTAGATTTATAATTTTCTTAATCTGAAATTGCCTTAATCTAGGAAATATGTGCATTTGTTTGGCTCTCCAAATCAGTGACAAATTGAAGGAAACTATTTTTTTTTATTTAATCATTTAATTTTTGTAGTGCTGGGGATTAAATCCAGGAATTTAAGGAAACAATTTAAGGAAAAATATTAATGGACATTGTCAGTACATAAAGAGTCTATATTGCACACAGTTGTTTTTTACCCTACTTCATATAACATAATTTAAGATTTCATTTTTTTAGTAAGTTGCAACTACAACTTTTCTTTTAAAAAGAGAGAGGAAAAAAACGAAGCAAATCTTTGGGTCCTTTAAAAAATTAATCTTGAGAATTCAATTTCTTTTACCTCTTAATGTCTTAAGTTTCAATCATCTCTTTCATTTTTACAGAACAAGAACAGCAGTTTTCCTTAAATTGCTAAATTCTATCTAGTTCAATACATTTTCTACCTTAGGCCTTTCTTGAGCATCCTATGATTACCAAGTTGTACAAAGAATAAAAGAGGCTTTTACTTCTCAGCTGGATGAAAACAATAAGTCATTGCACTCTGGCTTATTGTTGAACTTTAGAAAAGAAGTACAAACAGAAATTGTCTCTGGTAATCCAACCTGACACCTTCCAAAGACTTTCAGGGTGAATTTAAACTCTACCTCATTCTATTTCTATAATCCGTTACACCTTGCACTGAAATTTAACATAAGGTCCATTTAAATAATTTCAACTATATATATATTGAAACTCAGAAAAACCTGAGAGAGCTTTTTGTTTGTTTCCTCATTTGTTTGGGGGAGGCACACTATTTATTTGTTTATAGTAAGGCAAAATATGATCTATAAGACAGAATTTAAAAGGTTAGGGCTCAGTGTAGAACACTTGCCTAGCATGAATAAAGCCCCAGATTCCATCCTCAGTATTGCAAAAATAATATTTTTTTATTAAAAGTTATCTAAAAAATATTAAAGAACTAAAATCATATATTATTAACTAATAATTTGTCATAATTTTAATCTTGTTATAAATAATATTAATGTAGTTTAAAATGTAATAGATTAAATATAATGTACAAGCTAATTTGATGAATCATGCTACTGTGACATAATAGTACAGGGCTGGTAGGTCTGTGTACCATGTATTAAAGCACACTTTAATATACCATCAGATTATGCATGAATCCTGTTGTTACTATATAAAGACCTATATGATTTTTGTTTCTAAATGCCTCTCATCTAAGCTACAATGTAAACTTCAAAAAAGCAAGAACTGCATTTTATTGTTCAAATTTTTATCTGTACAATTCTTCATATACAAAGTATACAGATAAGAACTATTTCTTGAATGAATGAAAAGGTCCTAAGGAATTTGATCTGATTATTAAAAATCTATAACTTCCTCCATGTCAGAAAACATTAGAGATTATTATTATTTCATGTAAAAGATGAGATGAAATTGCTTGTGTTTCCTGTGGTATGTAGAACTGAGATAAAAGACGAGAAGTTTCAGAAAGATAGACTTCAGCTAAACATAAAGGAGACTTTTCTAAAATGTGTTTGTAATAGAATCATTTGGTGAGTGATGTGCCAAGATCCCTAACAGAAATTTATCAAAAAAAGAATAGTTACCAGTTCACGCTGAAGAAATTTCCCAGGAGTAGGTGGGTTTTCAGATTAAAATGGGTTTTCAGATTGTTTCTAAGATCATCTACAGAATTAGATTTTATGATCAGTTGATATTATTATCTAATATCAAATAAGAAATTAGAATTGTTAAACTTTACTCAATAATGAACTTCTAGAATTATGTTATTGACACAGTCAATGAACTTAGTATTTTGTAGACTCTATATCGAATTTAGAAAAATTTTTATAATATATTTAAAATAATATGGAATTGAAAAGGCTTCCCCAAAGTGAAAATCAATTACTAAATTCAAATGTAATTATATGTTTAGTTAGAATAACAAATATCACTTTGATAACATGTAAATTCAGTTGAGAAAGGCAAATCTTTGAATCTCTCAGTTTTCTGTCTTACATTTCAGAGAAGGGTTCTGAACTTAAGTCACCATTTTCAACAATGGTGCCCTGCCTAATGCATTTGCTAATTGATTCTTTTCATCTATGTGGTCTTTGAAGCAGAGCACATTCACACTGTATCACTGCCTTTCATATTTGAATAACATATGATTGACAATAATGCCTGCCTATACAACTGTACGGAAGGAGCTCCAGTAGTTTTCTGACATTCTCATCTGTCTTTCTGGAACTTATATGTCTGAGAAACATTTGCCCTCACACTGCCACTCAGACTCACAGCCTGCCAAAGACTTGTTTCAAATTAACAACCTCATGTCAAAGGGATGGTTACATATCATGTCTTTTATGTTTCCAGAACTTGCCTTTGTTACTTGCAGTGTGCATAACTATAAAAAAAAGATAAGAAATTTCAGAAAGACAGTCTTCAAGTAAACATAAAGAGGAGTTTTCTACAAAGTATTTATAATAAAATCAGTTGACAAGTGTTAGCAACTGCGAAGTTGGGGAAGCTTATATCATTGTTGCCCCAAAGGGTTGGTGTTCTAGCCTCATTGAGTTTTGAGATGTGTGTTCCTACTCCACTGAACTTGAGTATTGATATGAGACTTAATTTTATAATATGTTAAGAAGTGGCTTTTGTTAGCGCTAAGTAGAGAGTTTAAGAGCAGGCAAATGGCCCCTTGTTCCCATGTCACAAACTTGCAATGTTCTGCATAGATATTACTCTCTCCAGCCTGGACCTAAAGTAAAGATACCATGAAACTACCACTCTTCTAAGAGTCAACCTGGAATTGATGTTGAGGGAAAATTGTCCTTTGTTGTGAATTACTGAGATTTAGGGTTTCCTTCTTACCAGAGCATATTCTTATCCACCATGCTTGATTGAAAAGTACCCAGTCAGAGAATGTGTATTCCATAGATGTGGATGGGACAAAATCACAATCAAGCTGTGTCTGTCCCTGGAATCAAATTGTGGAGAAGAAAAATGGACAAGGGAGTTTCTATTTGACCATGCAAAAGTGGTGGGCTTGATGGAGTTCAGGATGAGTCAGAAGGAATTCTCCATCAGTGGAGTAAGAATTAAAGTAAAATGTATAATCACCTTGAATGGAAAACGGAAACTTTGCTATTTTATGTGATTTAACCACATGATTATTTTGGAGGAGAAGAGATCATGCTGCTATAGAAAAAGATATTAGGATGAGGATTTTGGCTTTAGAAACATGGAGGAAGTGACAGCTTTTAAGGACAGGAACAGGAAGAAATAACAGAATTTTGAAATGTGTTGCATGAACAGCCTGGATGTGGGAGAAAAAAAAAAGAGTAAGGTTTGTTAGTGATGCCAAGGTAAAGTGGTTGGAAAATGAGCATCTCACCAAATGGAAACAGAAAGAACACAGATAAGGAAAGACAGAGGAGGGGAGAGGATAACTATTAACTTTTCTAATCACTTGACATAATGAATTTGTTGCAGTAATTAACATGTAGTCAACAGTATTCCTCCCATTATTTGCATGTAGGTTAAAAAATAAATAAAAAAGGAAAGGCAATTACTTTGTATTGCTTTGAAAGCATTTATTTTATGTGTGAAAATTAACATAGCACTTGAATTCTATGTACATATTGAGAACTTAGTTTGTAAATAAAAATATTTGAGTTTTTTTCACCATTAAAGAAATATTGAGGAGATATTAACAAAATATTAATTTTGTTTATTTCTTGGGGCACCCATTTCTAAAATGGTGAACTATGGAGCAAATTGAAGATTTTTAGACTACTAATCTGAGTTTATCTACACAATACTCAGGAGAAGATAATAGCCCACATTTATTTGAAAACAAATAGGGATATTGCTATAACCTAGAGATTGCTAACCAAAGGAAGAAAAGGTATATTAAGGGGGAAAAGGAGAAAGACTAGAATATGCTTTTATGACTATATCTAAAAAATCATATGTCAACAAAGAAAAATAGAGCTATCACTATGAGGAATTACATGGCTTTTTAGGGGAAATACCCCTTTTCAGAAATTTTTAGACATTTCTCAGTCATAAATGATGGAAAGATGCAACAAGTAAGAGGAGCTGGAGGCAGGCTGACCTCACTCTCTAGCTGCACCCTCCTCCCCTTTGCTATCTGAAAAAGTGAAGACGATTATGGGATGTGGATAAGTAGATGTCTAGTGACATGAGAAAGCATTTGTTTTATTATAAATGAGATGCTAAGATAAACTGATAGGAGTACCTGTCATAGTTGGTGACATCTCATTTAATCATTTTATCACCCATTCAGTTACTTTTTGAACAAAGGAGTACTCCTGCCAGGCATTAGTCAAGGTCCTGGAGACTCAGAAACATACAAAACATCCTTTCTCTAGTGGAGCTTACAATCTAAATTAGAAAAGAAATACTAAAAAAAAATTAGTGTTTTCCAGATGCTATTGAATAATATAAGGAAAAATAGGGAAGAGGAAATTTTCGTGACATCTGGAGCAAAACTGGAACTATTTTCATCA